AAAAAAAAGGACAATTGAGTTTTTATTTATGTTGTGTACATGTAACATTATAACACATGGCAGTTTACAATACGTGATACTTATCGCAACCTCTTGGAGGTGTAGAACTTAACTTTAAATTTACAACTGTAGAACACAAACAAAAGTATATCTACATGTATACCAGAACTGCCTGCTAAAACCTTCCACTGACATTCCAAAATCATCAGGGTATAAAAAGCAGGCAATGTAGTGAAAAGTATTAAAAGTCAAGGTTATGCTGTTCCTAACCTGAACGATATTTGTGTTTGTATCTTTAAGAGCAGGAATGTTATTGAGACTATTTCTTTATTGATCACTTGTACATTTTATCTGTGATTAAATTATTTGTTTGGAGGTGTGGCCCTGCTGTTGTTCTCGCTGCTAACAATGTGGTACCATGCATCGCCCACTGGATACTAATAATAACAATTTATTGTAGATTAACTTAAATCATTGCACCTGGATTAACTTAAAACCCTTTGTGATCCACAAGTTCCTGTCATTAGGCTTCCCTGCTCCAAATAATATTTGTAGTTTCCATGGCAACAGTTTCGTACCTACCATCAACATTTGATTCTTTTAAGATGGATACTATGCTCACAGCATCGTTACTGCCCTAAAATTTGTAAATTAGGGTACATCACTTTTAGGTCTTGACCTTATTCCCTAAAAACTTCTATGAGTATGCAGCTAGTCATGTGTGTTCAAAACTGTTCAGGATTATAAATCTCATTCTGACTTGCTATTAAATATTTGTTGTTTAGAACTGTGATGTTTGTTACCGTGTTATAAATATGTAATGATCCCTAACATAAATGTGTACCCAAAGCCATTTTTATTAAAACAAAATTTAAGGTGAGAATATAATTACCAGTCCATGTTTGGTCATAGTTGGAGACTTATAGATTCAGAGTGTGTCTATGTGTTCACATGGCCCTGTACATTTCCACTTCACACATGCATCACCCATCATGTTGTACACATGCACATACATTTGTTTTATGATCCAAATCGAGAGGATGCCATTTTAATGCAAAAAATTCATCAAAATCAAGCATTTCTGCAATTGCAAAACTAAATCTCAGTCATGTGAGAACAAGTTTCATTAAAACGTGGAATGTCCATTTAACTATTGGATCTTTGATGCACATAATTTTTTCCTCCAGATCGAATTAAAAATGGCCGACTAGTGAACATATTGTTTCCAGATCTTTTCTTGGGACGTTTGGAGTTTAGCTCATAAGAGATCAGTTTATAGAGTCCACTTTGTCATTCTGTTGTCCTTGTTTTCCAGGATATAGTTGATACTGGTAAGACGATGCAGAAGCTCTTGAATATAGTAAGCAAGTTCCAGCCAGCCAGCGTCAAAGTCGCCAGTCTGCTCGTAAAACGTACTCACAGAAGTGTGGGTTACAGACCAGATTGTGAGCATCATTCTCATTAATAATTTTTTCCTTCCTTCCCTTCCCGAAATCCTTCTTCCAAAAAATTATCCTGCTTCTTCAAATTATTGGCTATTTAATAAATATTTATAATAATTTACTACTGCTGAATATGTGGTGACAAGCAAGGGATGTAGGTTTCAAAACATGAAAATGAACGAGTCTGTGAAATCATTAGTTTTCATCCCAAGATATTTTTTCATTGAGTGTGTATTTGTATTTGCTATATTAAAAGCACATGTAAATGAACAATTGCATGTATTTTATGCGGGATCATTCAAAATGACTTAGTCTAATCATAGACACAGCGTACTTCTGACATTTACACATGCGCCACTAATAGTACAAATGCAATACAAGTTCTTGCTTTCTTGAATATGGTGACAAACTTGCTCACTTCTGTTGCTACAATCATGTCAATTAAAAAAAAAAAAAAAATTGAGGCATGCTGGGACATTCCTTTACCTTCCTTAGACATAGATACATGTAATCAATTGAAAAGCTGTTAATTGACTGATAAATAGCTAACACTCGTTAATGAGATTCAAGGGTAAATTTCTAAAATATTATCACTATGGTTTTAATTTAATCAGCAAGTCTCTTTTTATACCACAGACATTGGTTTTGAAGTGCCAGATGAGTTTGTTGTTGGCTATGCATTAGATTACAATGAGTATTTCAGAGATCTCAGTGTAAGTACATACATGTACTAGATTGACATACAAGTATCATAAACATTAAAACAGTCATAACTGTTTATAAATATATGATGTGGTATCTAGTTGCATGTCCTGTAGTTTAGATTTGGTAGTGTCTCTCTCTGCATTGTATACTGTAAAATACTTTATTTTTGCTATTCAGTGAAAATAAAATTCAGCAATTTCCCCATATTTTATATTCAACTCACCAAAAATCAATGAAAATAAATTCCATACAAAACACCCAAAAATACTTTTCAGCGAAAATAAAGTATTTTACAGTACATGCCTCATGTTTTTTAAATTAAGTATAGTCCATTACTTTACAGTGAACAGTCAACAAGTTCATTTATACCATGCTCCTTTTCTGTTCATTTTGAGTATCTTTTTATTAAATAATAATGAAGTAATGAGTAAGTAATGTTATAAAAAAAATTGTATAATCTTCTGTTTGTAACGAAAACCTTATGGGGCTGTACGTTGCGTAATGTAGCTTTCCTGTGTTTATTCATAACTTTGCCTTCTCTTCACAGCATATATGTGTTATCAATGAAAATGGAAAAAAGAAATACTCTACACAGTGAAGAATTAACTTATAAATCATCCGTACGCCATGCATTGAAGCCAGAAAACATCTTTCAATAACACATTCCAGTAACTCTGGACAGTCAGGATCTTCACAAACCTGTGCACAACTAACCAATATATTCTAAAGTGAATGCATTTCAATGTGATTGCATTTCAGTCATGTGATCGCATTTGTCATGTGATCACATTTCTG